CGAGCGGCGCAGAGGGGCTGGCAAGTGCGGGGAAGCTGGGCACGACTCGGCCCCTGACCCCTGGGAAAGCTGCGGGAGCTGCCCAGGCACGCAGCCCCCCGGGACAGGGGGCTCGGAGCAGCCTCCGGAGCGGCGGGGCTTCGTGCCCCCGGGTCCGCCAAAAAAAAAGTAGCTGGGAGCGAGCCCTGCCCAATGCAGGGTCAGCTGGGGCAGGTTGCCCAGGACAGCCAGATACAACTGTCTCCAAGGATGGAGACTCCACGGCCTCCCTGGGCATCCTGGGCCAGTGTCTGACCCGGAAAGCAGCTTTACAGAAAAGGAGCTGGTGAACACCAGGTTGATCACCATCCAGATCCACCCTCACAGTAGAAAAGTGTTGCAGTCAGATGGACTTTCACATGTTTCAGCTTGGGGCCATTGTCTACTGTCATCAGTAGCCATGTCAGCATCTCCCTAGGCACCACCAAAAGCCCCTCAACCTTCTCTTCCTCGGGCTAAACAGTCCCAGCTCCCTCAGCCTTTCCTCATGGGAGAGATGCTCCGGATCCTTCATCACCTTCATAGCCCTTTGTTGGACTCTCTCCAGTAGGTCCACCTCTCTTTCGCACAGGGGAGCCCAGATCTGGACCCAGCACTCCAGGGGTGGCCTGGCCAGTGCTGAGCAGAGCGGAAGGATCACCTCCCTTGACCTGCTGGAAACAGTTCTCCTAATGCAGCCCTGCCTACCATTCACCAGCTTTGCTGCAAGGGAATTTTTCTGGATGATGATCAACCTGGTGTTCACCAGGACCCCCAGGTCCTCTTCTGAAAAGCTGCTACTTTCCAGCTAGGCAGTCCCCAGCATGTCCTGGTGCCTGGGGTTGCCCCTTCCCCAGTGCAGAACTTCGCACTTCCCCTTCTTGACCTACATAATGTTCCTTTCAGCCCATTTCTCCAGCCTGTGGAGGTCCCTCTGGACAGCAGCATGACCCTCTGGTGAGTCACCCACTTCTCCCAGTCTGGTGCCATCAGTGAACTTCATGCAGCACTGGTACACTCTGCCCCATTGCCCAGATCGTTACTGAATAGGTGAAGCAGGGCTGGTTGTTGACCCACAGGATTTGTCCAACCCTCCTTGAGCTCTTCCCCTGCCTCAGCAGCATCTCAGAGAGCTCAGGTCTTTCCTGGAAAACCATGGTGAAGGTGAAGAGGAGCAGAGACAGCAGTCAGGGAGCAGTGTGGCTATCTTGGCTTTGACCAAAGCAGATGGAGATAGAGGAAGTCACAACCAGGGCTTGGGTCCTTCATCCGCGCTCTCAGTGACAGGGACAATGGCACTGCCTTTCCTTTCTCTCCCGTTAAAGAAACGCACAGACTTAGAAAAATCATTTTTATTCAATGCAACAAGTTCACCATCAACACGACCAGGAAAGAAGAGCCCATGGCAGCAGGAAGAACTTCACGTACGTCACCCCAGCAAGGCACAGCCCGGCTGGAATAGACGGCACCTTAGCAGAGAATCCCGATGGATGTGAAAATAAATGTAGCACCAGGGGAGGGAGGGAGGGAGGGAATGGAGCAGGGTCCTGGTGCAGCATCACATCCCAGCTGGGTCCAGCACCTTTCGTTCCTCTTCCCTGTCACTGCGGCTTTTTCCTCCTGAGTATCATTTCTGGTTGGAGAAGAAAAGCGAAACCTCAACTCTTTGCAGAAGTAAAACGATATCCCAAGGCACCAAAGGAAAAGTGAAAGCAAAGCGGGAAAGCCGACGCCACGAGTGTAGCCCCCCAGGACTTAGGGCGGACATGATGAAGGCTTGAAGATTTCATGGGTGCTTTGCTCAGATGTTTGTGTCTCACTTGCCAGCTGCCGTAGCCAAACCCATTGGTGCCTGGCTGAGCAGCAGTGAGAGCTTTTCCCTGGTAGGACATGGTCTTGCTGTCCTTGGCATCGGACACCAGCAGGTATCTCACTTGGCGATGCCACACTCTGCCATACCCTGGTCCCCAGGCCAGCCAGTGAAGCCCGGCTGCATTCAGCAGGGCTCCTCTAAACCGTGCCAGTGCTGGCTCCTGCCATGACAGCGGAGGGTCCCCAAAAGCTGGCACGGGTTGGAGATGCTGCACCTTGCCCAGCAGGGCCTGCAGGGCACTGGGGACCCATGGCGGTCATCACGCCAGCCTCAGCAGGTCCCAGCCCTGAATGCAGACAGCAGCATGCCTGGAGAGCAGCCCAGGTGGTGACGATGGAGCCTCCTCCTCGGATTCACACAGTCCAGCGCGCTGAAGCCACTTGAACGTGCTCAGAGCAAGAAACTCCAGGTGCACGGGAGATCCCAGGCCTGAGAAGGAAAGCGAAAACGGGCAGGGCTGCGGGCAGGGTTGGCACTGGGTGAGGCAATCGCCCCGTGACTCATCGGCCCCCACAAAGTGCAGGCGTGGAAAGCCTTGGCTGCAAGCCATGCCACTGGAGTGGGTAAGGACGAGCCCAGATCGCTCCTTCCCAACCCCTTTTGGAGCCAGCGGCTCATCCAGGTGCAACCGGCTTGTGCTGAAGTTGCTGGTCTTGGAAAAGAAATGGAAAAAAAGAAAGAAAGTGCCCTAAAAAGCCAGCTTTAAAAATAAAAAAAACCACACCAACAACCTGGGCAACGTGTGGGAGCCCTGCCCGTGGCCCAGTGGCACCAGTATAGGGGACATCAGGTGGCCTTGGCTCAGCAGCCATCCCTGGACCCGTCCCCACCAGCCTGGGGTGTCAGTGCCACCAAAACGCTGCCAGTCCTGCTACCACCCCACAACCCTTCGCTGCCTCTTGGCACACGTGGCCTGCAGCAGCTGCCACGGCGTCCGGCTGTTTTGGGCCACCCCATGTGCCTCCGTCTGCCAGCACCATGCCCCAGTACGTTGGTGATGCAACCCCTGGTGTTACATCACACCCAGTCACTCACTACATCATCCTAGGGGACGCACTGGGTGCCCTGCTGACACCAGGGATGCAAGGACTGTTACTTGCAAAGTTAATTAGTTAATTAGTGAGGAAACTGAAACAAAGTAGTTAAAGTTTAAAGTGAAGGAAAAACCCAAACAAGCACTTCTTTCCCAAGGGCCTTTGTGCCAGCGCTGTCAGGGTATGGAATGTCCCCTCCCCGGGGACATCTCCCTGCCCAGGGTACTGCTGTGGGGACACACCTCACTGGGACAAGCCTTGCCAGCAGAGCTGGGGCTTCCCCAGCTGCAGGCCACTCGCCTCCCAGTCGCATCGCCTGCTGTGGTCCTGGGCAAGGAGAGACCTCTAGTGCTCCTTCAGGAGATGACAAGCCACCAGTTCCATCCTCACTCAGCAAGGTTTTCATGGGTGCTGCTCACCCACCCACAACTCACACATGGTGCAGCCTCTTCACCAGTGACCTGCAGCAGGGTTTAATCCAGTATCACTACTCCATGAGGTCTCCTCCAACACATGGACACAGAGCCTAGCATCAGCACTGGGCTTTCCTTCCCATAGCTGTCTTCCTTGGATTCCACCACCCTCCTGGGAGCCACCAAGCAGGGTGGGTCAGTCTTTGCTCCCCACTCTGGGCAAACTGAGCAAGAATTTGGTGACCACAATGGAGATACAGCCAGAATCAAGCATCTCTGCCAGGTTAAGGAGGCTCTGTCTCTGCACCCCTGGTAGGACCACAACTGAGAGGCCCAGGACCACACCTGAAGCACTTCCAGCCCCTATAAGCCTCTCTCCAGGTGCCCTCTCTATGGCAGCAAGGCAGAAGCATTAATGATGCACCAAGATGTGACAGAGCCTTCCCCCCTGGCATCAGGGCAGACTTCTTGCCAGAGGCAGGAGTTACAGGAAAGGGAAAGGTCCCTACAAAGGCTGCACCTGGACTTCAAATCTCTGACAAACAAACAGGAGGGGACCCGTGCTGGGCTGTGTCCCACTTGGAACCTTCACCTCCACCTGCCCCTCCCTGAAACACCACCTCTAGTCTCACCTTTGCAGCGTGGGTGAGCGATAACGGGCTGAGAACACGGGGAGCACAAGCTCACCCACCACGGCAGCAATCCCAGAAAGGCTCCTGGGCTGTGCTGGGGGCAAGCAGCCCCGTGAGGGTGGAAGCAGCAGTGCTGGCACAGTGCTGGGCAAGCCTAGGACAGATAAGCTGCTGATATGCTTGCACCAACCAGCAAAGCACCAGGGACGGGGCCACATGGCGGGCAAGAACAGCCTCTTTCCTTGGCCTTCAAAGGCAGCACACAGCTCCCAGCTTAGCCTGGGCAGGGAAAGGAGCACAAACGGCCCTTTCCACCTAAAAGCCATCAACTCCAGTAAACAGAAGGCTACTCAGGGCCTGGGTGACCAGTGTCCATGAAGTGCAGTTATTCCCACTCCAGCAGGTGCTCCACAGCCTCTCTTAAAAAAGGGGAACCACAAGCAACTTTCTCAGATTTTTTTATTAGTTGTGTAAGAAATGCAGCAAGTTTCTCAGCTGTTACTGTGGTTCCCATCCCCACACACAATTTAACCACCACCAGTCTGAAACCAGACCCTTCCAGTGCTGAGGGTGCAGCACTGGGCAGGCTGGGAGACCAACATGGACAGGAACCCGAGAGCAGGCATAAACCCATGTCTGCTTTCCCAAGAAAAATCAAAACTTCCATCACAAAGAAATCAGCATCAATCTTCCCAAGGAAAAGGGACGGTTATAAGTAGGATATTAGGAGACAACCCATTTTTTCCTTCCCTTCCAGGACCGGATCAAAAGAAGCGTTTTCCTCTCACTGTCCCTTGCATCCCAGCACACAGATATGCCTTATCCAGAACTCCACTGGGATTTCAGGAGAAGAAACTCCCATTGCCTCCAGCATCCTGAAACAAGAAGCAGAGGAAGGGTCTTGTTGTGCCCAGCCAGCTCCACCCATGTGGAGCAACATCCGCAACCAGAGATAGGTTTCTTCCACTCAGAGCACCGAGGTTTTGAGGGCAGATGCTTCCAACACATGCACAAGGGTGGTTCTGGTCAATGAAGAAGTTCGCAGGCACAGGGATGCCTCCCCTTCCCAGAATTGCAGCAGGCCCTCGTTATGAGCCAAACCAGCCTGGTTAAGATGCAGCTATCAATACTTTCCCCTTCTCTCTGCTAACCAAAAGCAAGGCAGAGAAACTCCAGAGACCCTTGACATGAGACTTCCATGGATACATCAGCACAGGAACACCACACAGCTACATGGACTTAAACTCTATGTCAGCTGACACAAACTGAGGTCAATCGTGCTGTGAGCAGCTGAGAATCTGCTGCTGAACCCTCTAGAACAAGCACCCAGCCACACCTGGGGGGAAGGACGGACAGTATCGCTGCCCAGCTCACTTCTAGCTTTGAAGGGGTCTCCACCACCTTATTCTTCATTCACTGGGTAAGAGGGGTTTTCCATGTCCTCCTTGTTTTCCAAAGTGGTGTTCTTACCTCTTTTCAGTGTCCTGGAGGAGGGATTTTGCAGCTTCGGGGTCATTTTTCTTAAAGATTTGATATGGAGAGGTAGACTCCAAGAAACCAATCACACCAGCAACTGTCATGGGAATTTTATCATAGATATCAGTGAATCTAGAAGGGAGACAGGGAAGAAAGGAGCATTGGCAAGTTAAGTCTCAAAGGCAGTGGAACAAGGCCAACAGGTTGACATGGTGGTGAATAAAGCACCTGACACCATGAAACATCCAACAGACGGAAACAACATCTGACTGTGGCATTTGGTTGGTCAGGAGCTCTAACTGATGCATTACTGGAGAAGCAGAGGTGGTCCCAGGGATCATCTAACAGTCTGTGACCATCAACAGCCCTTTCGATGGAGAACTACCTGCAGAGCCCATTCCCCTTCCAGCATTCAGGACACCAACCCCTCTGCAACACCGCTGCCAACGCATCCATTTGCCTGCAGTCAGCCCCTACCCCCATGCCTTGGTGGGGAGGGGCAGGCGCTGGCTCCCTGGAGGTCTGGGGCAGGTTCCTTCTCACTCCATTCCCCTCCCCCACCATCCATTAAGCGATCTGCTCAGAAGCCTCAAATTATCATGAACCACCAAAAAAAAACCCACCCAACACTACTCGTGGTGCTGCGCCGAGGAGTTTCTGCTCACCTCTTCTTGTCTGGAAACGGCAAGGCCTCAAAGATCTCCTTGTAGTCATCCAACACAAGTTTTACTCTATCATGTGAGTATTTTGAAAGCAGGTCCCAGGACTGCAGAAGACAGTATATTAAAAAACAACGAAAAAGCCACTTGAAGCTCTCAGTTTCTAGTTAACTCAGGCTTGCTTGGCCCTAGATCTGGTGCATCCATACTTTTTTTTGTGAGGGTTTTCTTTTTTATAAAATACTCTTTGCATTAAAATTCACCAAAATCTTGCTCAGTGTCAAGAATTCAAGGATCCTATTTTATTACAGAAATAAAGGTCCTGTCCTCTGCTGTTACTCATAGTGGAATATCTCCTTTTCGCGAGCTGTTAAAACACTCTTGGTCAGGAAACATCACCACAAAAGCCTCGTTCCAAACAGTTGCTACTTCCCACTCTTTTCACTGTGAGCAGGGTGACAGAAGAAGTCTCTTTGACAAGACCAGCCCCCCAAATCTGCTCCACAGCCCTTCTTGCCACACCAAATCTGCCCTATTAGTCCTAACACCCCTCTTCTCATCCCACCAGCCTGTGTGAGAACAACTAAGATCCCATCTCAACTTTTTCCTTGTGTTAAACCATCCCTCTGCCCCATCCTGTAGTAGGAGTCCCCTAGTTGTACCCCCCAAACCCATTGCTTCCCTCTCTGCATCGAAGCACTACCCATTTTCCCCCCTGCCCAGACCAGGAGGGGAAGCCCTGAGGTTTTCATTTCATCCCCTCACCTCCCTGTAGATTTTGGTCAGCTTTTCAGAGCAGTTGCCATAGCGCAGATTCGTGTCTATGGTGTAGGTGCTGAGGACCACGCAACCACCCGGCTTCAGCACCCGTTTTGCTTCTCTCATGAACTTCTCGATATCGAACCAGTGCGCGGCTGTGAATGATGCCAGGATGTCCACGGAGGCATCCTCGAAGGGCAGCTCCTCTGCAGGGCACACACTGGAAGCGGGAAGGAAAAAAGGCAGCATATAATATGGGAATTAGGGAATAGGACACTAAGTCATTTTTTGGAGTCGATGACCATTTGAGATGCAAGACCATGGCTGTTATGAGTGTGCTTTATCCTAGATTTACACTAGGAATCCCAAATGGGATCTTCTTTGGTGCCAGCTAGCTCTTGCAACAATCAGACCCACGAAACACCACCTCCAGGTGAGCACCTGACCTTTGCCTTCGGCTGAGCTTGCTCCCCCAACACTCACAGGTAGGAGACGTTGGGCAGGGAGGGGGCATCCCTGGCCTCCTGGATCTGCGCTTCGCTGATGTCGGTTCCCACCACCTTCTTGAAGTGCTCCGCAAGAAAGCGGGTGCCTTGTCCAGACCCACAGCCGACATCCACCACCAGCTCAGCAGAGCTCCTCTTCTGCAGGGAGGAGCAGATGCATCTCAGTGGATGGCCATCCAGTTTCTGTGCTTTTACCCCATTCCCTCCCCCTGTGTCCATGCAGGAACAGCCTCAGCATGGCACAACCCCTGGAAAGGCTCTTCTGTGCCAGCTTCGTACCTTGAGTCCTATTGATTTATTCTTCCCTGTGGCACCAACCAAGGGAACACTCCCAGCAGGGTAAACACCACCGCCCCCAAACACCACCGCCGTGTTTTTTCCTACAGCCTGGCCATACCTCACCCACCTTTTCCTGCAGGTAGGTGAAGATGGTCTCCTGCAGCTCTTTGCCCGGTGCAAACCTGTATTTCTGGTAGATGGCCGCGTGCCCTCTCCCCTTGAACAGCTGGGTGGCCATGCTTGGGCAACAGGGTGCCTGGGAGGAGGCAGCAAGCCAGGTGTGTCACCACAGGATCAAACTCTTCCCGCTTCCTTAGCCTGAGACCGAAGGTGCCAACATCTCCAGTTCCTGGCACGGGCCCTGGGAGGACTTTGCCCATGAGGCTCCAGTGAGGGAACGTGAACCTGCTCTCCCAGCAGCTCTCCCACAGATACAATTACAGAAACAAACAAGCAACATCTGACAAGGAAAAGCTTTCCAGGTTTTTTAACCCTTCTTCTCCTTACTCCTTTGC